ATGGATTCTTCCAACTTTCCAATGCAACGTGCCAAGTTGTCTTCTACATTGAACCCTTTGGTTAATTGGTGCACTGACAGTTTTATGTCTCTAAGCATGCTTTGTACCTGCCATTTAGTTACGTCAAGCGCAACTTGAGATTTTGTACCCAACGTACCTTCTACCTTTTCGAGATCCTTTGCCATGTTATTTAATATAGGCTTTATTGTATTATAAATTCTATCTTCGTATTGTTTAAGACTCTGTAGCTTTTCTTCTGCTTGTTGAATAGCATTACTTATCGCATCAAGATTTGCTTGATCACTCCTGTGTTTACTATAAATGTCCAAGCTCACTTCACTAATCCGAATCAAACGATAAACGGTAACTATAGCATCTAATGCCTCAGTGGCTCTTTTTTTATCAACAGTTTTGTCCGTCTTCAGTTCGATTTCTTTTGCCTTTAGTTCTTCCTTAATTTTGGCCACGTGCTCTTCAGACCGCTCTTCGTGCCCTGGAGCTCCCTCTCGATTGCGGATTTCCATCATCTCACGCCTGTTTCTTTCTATACTTTCACGAACATCTTTCAACAATGGATGTGGATCAATTTCATGAGCTATATTGTCTAATATTTGAATATTTCTCGTCACTTTAATGTCCTTGGCACTTCTGATATTACCTACCAATAACCTTACGTCAGCCGTTACACCAGCAGGCAATGATAGAGGTTGATGCTGTGCGGTCTTATCGTCTAAAACGAAATCTTCTGCTACTGAACTTGCGGCTCCAATGACCGCACCTGCCGCCGCTCCTGCAGGTACTAAAAAACTTAATGCTAACCCTGCAATTTTTAAACAACTAAACAATCCTCTAAGGACCACCGCTTGTTCCAATCTTTTCTTCTTCTTAAGCAATTCATCTCTCTCTTCTTCAGCCTCTCTTTGCAGTTCTTTTATTTCATCCAGAAGAAGCTCTATTTCACCATCTATTTGCGCAAGTATTTTATCAATGGCCGGTGTAATTTCCTCTTCGATGAAAAGCTTAGATTCATTAATTTTTTTATCAATATTTTTTTTGTATTCATTCTTATAATTATTTATTGTGTGAACCATGCTATATCTTTCCTTTAGTTGAATAAAATTATTGACATTGGTTTTCACTATATCAAGGTACCCTTTTATATCTATGATCAATGTAGTATCTGAATCACTTTTTAAATCATATAACTTGCTTAAGACAGCTGTATACATATAGACGAGGGTCTTATTATGCTCCATGGATCTTTGGTTAGCTTCTGGATTATTTGCATATTCATTAATCCTATCCAATAATGATTGATAAAAAAATACAGAATCTCTTTTTTGTAACCGGCGAAACTGCCTCTCTAAGCCTCGGTGCTCCCCTAATAATCCTGACGTATCATACATACGTTTAATGTCTCTATTAGTATCCAAGTCACGGATAAATGTTATGAGATCTTTTCTCCTAATGCGGCCAGCATCAAAATGCATGCTTTCTCTAGCATAACTTTTGTAATCGCTGATAATTTCAAATTTATTTTCAATGATGTCTGCTGGATCTGGGCTGCTGCCTGGTCCATGAGCTCCATCCATACCATTATTTCCAGATGGACCATATCCGTCGCGATCTACATTTTCTGTTTTTATGACTTTGTATGATACTGGAATGACAGACGCTACCGCAGAATATAAACACTTGACGTATAGGGAGTACCCATGCTCACCACCAGCTCCTCCTTCCCCACCCTTACCTATTGTTCCATCTCCTCCATTGTTATTATTACTTGATATTCCTGAATCACCACCTAGCGTAATTAACTTTATATCACCTGCTTTACCGCCGTACCCCCTTACTCCACCATCCCCACCATCCCCGCCAATTGCGCCGTCTTCACTTGAAATATGATAATTATCTATAACTCCTAAGTAAACAATGACCGGTATTACGGCAATTACGCCATTTTCGTAACAATGGTAGTCAGAACATAGATTCAAGCAAGCAAAATTTCCTTTAAATCTTTCATTATCGCTGTTAAGAGAAATACCTGCACTACCGGGTCCACCATCTCCACCATCCTGACCATCACCACCATTTCCACCATTAGCCACAATATTCAACCTATTTCCATTCAAGAATGTTGTGCCTACGCCAAAGAAACTCCCTGCTGGTCCTCCAGGCAAGCCAGGCCTACCGTCAGCTCCCCGCCCCCCGTCCCCCTCGCCGTCCCTTGCCTTACGTGGATTATGTGGCGGAGCGTCAGCCCCACTCAAGTTTATTGTTCTACGACCTATTACCTCCCATGTCGGGGCTATCATTACGAGCTTCAGCTTTTCCCCTACCTTATATAGGTTTTCGTCAATGAATATTTTGTTCAAAGCAAATATTTCTGTTGTGGTGCGTTGGCAATTCCCAATTTCCACTATTGCTTCACTAAGTCTTATGTAACCTCCTTTGATTGTGAGTTTATTTGATTGACATGAGACATGGAATTTGTTCAGCGTCAAACTGGCCACTTGTCTCAAATCCTCCACGCGTATATCATCAGCCTCTATGTTTTTTATTTTATTATATCCCATCACTTTGAATGTTTTTATATTTTTTATAAATTGCTTGAAGTTTTGTCTCGTTATTGATATTCCCTGCTGTTTACCATCTTTTCCCCATTCTGCAATATTGGCTACGTTGTATTTCATTCTATTTTTCTGTACGTCATATGTAGATAACTTTTCATACAAATTGGTCAAGAATTCGTACCATCCTTGCGATTCCTTGAGGTATGTTGCTGTTTCATTGAGTGGAGTTATTAATTGAGATGGTGTTGGGGTATCTAGCGTTTTGTTGCTTATAATTTGTAAGAACGTTAAGTACTTTCCTTGTCTTAAAATATTGTTTGTGTTATGGCTGATTTTGAAGCGATCATCATCTGAAATAATCTCTTGAAGTTTTCTTGCCATATTTTGTGTTGTATTTGATTGTTCCATCTCTTTTGTCCTGTTCAGGATTAAAGCTTGCCAAATGCTAATTTCTGCGGGTAGTTGATGAATTACAATGGAACTCATTTCTTTCTGGTAATATATTTTAATTTTTGTTGCAATATTAGTTACTGTGTTTTGCATTTGAGCAATGATTTTTTCTGTGGCATCATTGATATTCTCCTGAATATTACGCCTTGAGACAGAGAGGTAGTATGCAACAGGTTGCAACAAGTCACCCCAAGTCCTAGAACCTAATGCGCTATTACTCAATACTTGCAAAAATGCATAATATTGTCCCTGCTGCGAAATAATTCGCATAGCCTTGGCGCACCCATCTATCCTAAGTGTCTTGAAGCTCTTGTTTATCTTCCGCCCCAACTGGTCTGTTGTTATATTAATAACTTCTTCCGTGAATTTTGTCGTTCGGGCATATCCAGCATTTAGAGAATCATTGAGTGTTAGAGCCTTAGATAGATTTGCATCAACAGCCCCAGTAGAGGTAGGAAAAGAGCGTATCTTGCCAAGTACCTCTTCGATTAAATTTCTGTAATATCCATGCATTTTTTCAGAGATGATAGTAAGGTTAGACCATACATTGTGGTTAATTTTCTCTGCAGCACCATCAATGTCCTGTTGGATAGCATGCTTAGCGTCGTAGAGGTATGTTGCAACGGGCTGCAAAAAGTTGCCCCATGCCCTGTTGTCTATCAAGTTACCATGCATAACTTTCAGAAATTCGAAATATTTCTCTTGCTGCGAAATATTTTGCATTGTATCTTTAAATCCGTTTATACCTAAGGCCGTATGACTTTTGTTTATATTTTTTACCAATTTGTCTATGGTTACATTGTGAACTTCTTCCATTAGCCGTGTAGTACGGTTATTTCCGGCGTTAAACCAATTTAAAAATTTTCGAGCCTCTGATCGATTTGCATCAATTCTCACGGCAGTGGTAGAAAAAGAGCGTATCTTACTACGCATCCCATCTACTGAATTTCCGTAATACACCAGCAAGTAATCCGAGATGATGCGAAGGTTATACCATACATTCTCGATAATTTTCTTTGCAGCATCATTAATATCCTGCTGAACAGCATGCTTAGAGTCAGAGAGGTAGGTTACAACGGGTTGTAACAAAGCATTCCATGCCCTAGTCCCTAGTACGTCGTCCCCCACAACCTGCAGGAATGCAAAATACTTACATTGCTGCTCAATTCTTAACATAGCCTCATCACAGTCACATATACCTAAGATAGTGAGGCTCTTGTTGATTTTTTCAGCCAACTGGTCTGTTGTTATATTAAGAACTTCTCCCATTAGGTTAGTCGTAACGGTATATCCAGAATTTAAAGAATCTATAAATTTTCGAGCCTCTACAGGATCTGCATCAACGGCTGCAGTTATGTCAGGCATGGAGAGTATCTTGCTACGCATCTCTTCTACTAAATGGTTGTAATGCTCCTGCATGCGGGCAGCGATGGTGCGGAGATTAAAGGATACATTGTCGTTAATTCCTACTGCCAGAGCACCTACAGCAACCTTGGACGTATCAGATATGGTATAGCCAAAATCACCATCACTGTTTGCCGTGAACGCAAGGTATTCATTCACTATCCTTCCTACATGCTCCTTTCCCTCTTCTAAATACCTTATATGACTCAGTGGTGCTGACCTATCTGGCCTTCTAAAAATGCCAATCCTCGAATAGTGATCACCGTCCATGATTGAAAGAGTGTCCACAAACTTTATTGCGTGCTCACAAAATTGTTTTTCTTTAAGAGGAACTCTTGCATCGGCTAATCGCTCCCTTAACCACTGCTTGACCTCCTCTAGAAAATGGCCTATGGCTCTTATAACGAGGTCATCTGAATCTAAAATAAAGCTCCCGTTTACGAATTCAAAATGAGGATCAATTTTTGTCACCATAAGGGCAATACTTCGCCGATATTTATCAATGTCTGTTATGAAATCAGTAGCATGTCTAAGTAATTTCATTAAATCTTGTCTATCTACACCTCTTCTAACCGATGAATGATTAACAACAAAGATCAATTTAACATATTCAGCATAATCTGCAACTTTTTTAATGAAGTAGGTTGTTGCTATTTCCATACTGGTACTCCTCGTATCACTAAATCCAGGGCAATCATAGTACGCATCATCTGTTCCAGTGTGAACCACCAACTCTGGGAAAATTGTCATCGATTTTAGAGTAGAATTGCCTATTCTATTTCCATCCTCAATAAGAAACGCTCCACTTTTCCCACGTTCCCTTTTTGCTAGCAACTTATTATTGTCCCCAGCGAACCATTGAAGAAATGTACTCTTGCCGGTTCCAGTATTCCCTAATATTAAGGTTATATTCTTGTATCGTTCACTTAACTGGATTTTCTCTTCCCCTTCATCTAAAAGTTGAAAAGTTTTGCTTATCTCACTATTGTTATTGGATACTGACTCCGAAGAATAACGACGGTAGCGCCTACCTGCACGCTCGTCGGAAGTGGACCGGGTTTTCGTATCCATGTTCATGACAAAATAGTTTATGGGTGCAGCTTTTTGGGGCCTGAAGAGGCTTGCTGTATCCACTCTCTTCGAAAGTTGAGAGACAATCTGGTTGTATCTATTGGAATTTATCGTCACCATTTCAGAGTTACTTGTGCTGGAAGAAGAGGTTGTCACCATACTCAATGGAAGAGTGTTTGCTGATGATGAAGAGAAGAACGGAATGTCAGATCTCGGTGGACGAGCTGAAGAAGAAGAGCTGATCCTCATCTGCACGCCTTGCATCGGAGGGTCGGAGGCCTGAGACGCCAGCCCAGGCATCACCACCACACCCTGAGGACGAGTTGGACTGATGACCATGAACTTTTCTGTAAATATAATCTCTAACTGCTTCTAAGCATATTACCCAACTGAATCATTATTGTGAATGACATTTAAATGCTTACTGATGGGGCGCTTAACGCTGATTATTTATCGGAACAAATTTCCCTATATTATGTCAAGTTTCAAGCCTAAATAATGCTACGCATGTCATGTATTTAACCATTTAAATATTATTGTAGTGAATTTCTTCATCCGATGAATGGAATGAAACTCTCTGGAAACTAATACCAGCATCTAAGTATGTCATGAGGTTCTTAATAATTTCAATGAATATGTGAAATGAATTAAATTAAACTTTTTTGAAAACCGCGATGCTTAAAGGTTAATTACCACCTTCGTATTAATTTGCCCTTATGCAATTATTAATTTGCAAAGTAACCCCAATTACTTTGCAATACTCACACTCCGTCCATCAACGTAAGTATTCGTGGTCACCTGACTGCCGTCCAGCGTCAGAACCTGCACAAATGAAGTGGAAGTTAAATTTGTTTGTTATTTAAGAAACATTTTGGTGAAGGCATTCGTCCATCAGATATTAACTGAAGGAAATTATATTTGTGCTTGGAAATGAAGTAAAACTGAGCGTAAGTTGAAAAATTTGCAATGGGAGTTGAAAAAATGGTCATGCGTCATTGATGGGTTTGAATCAAAATAATTGGTTTCTACTAATTCTTCAAAAGTGCAAGAAGCCTAATATGAAAGTTTGATTGAATACCAGAGAATGTTTTCTATTGATAATATTCTTATTTGTCTTCTCAATGAGTCGACGTAGGCAGATTGAAAGTAGATTACCGAAAAGCAATTGAACTTTAGTTATTAAACGAACTCTTACTGAAACTTAAAGCTGGTAAAAAAATTGTCATCAGCCCAAACTTGAGAGATCAATCGCGAGCTAAAGCCACCTAACAACGAGGCTCATCGACCTCAGCAGTCTTAACTCCGGTTCTACGTCAAGCAGCTAAACAACTCTGAGACAAAGACCAAATTGTTCTACAGAAAGCTGATAAAATAAATATTGTCGTAATTATGGACAGGACAGATCATCTTTCAAAAAAGTAACGAAATTATATCAGAAGAGTCCAAATTCAAACATGTAGCAAGGGATCCAGCAGAACACCTCCAGAGGAGAGCATATAAACTAATCAACACAGATAAGTTTGCAATAGGATCTAAAAACTTACCCCGATTTTTGGGAGCTATTCTCCAGGCTACCTCTATCAGGCTCTATGATTAAAACTCACAAAGAAGATAACTCTCTAAGGCCTATAATTTTGCACGTTACTTCTTCAACTTCACTTTAATCTATTATAGTATACAAGACATCTAAGGAGTTGGACGCTATAATAAAACCATATATCCCTAAGAAATACTCGTTAAAATATAGAAATGACTTCTTGGAAATTCTACATGCCACGCGCCCTTCTGGTCTCTAAGCGTCACTGCATGCATGGATGTCACTAATTTGTTGACTTATGCACCAACCGAAGAAACTTTAGAAGTTATCGTGCAGCATGTACATTCTGACGAAACCTTGTCAGCCCCACCTGTACCAAGAAAGGCAAAAAAGATCCTAATTGATCTTCTTCGCCTCTGCACTTCAGAATCTCCCTTTCGGACTCCTGACAACAAAATTTACCGACAAGTTAATGGCGTTGCCGTAAGATGTCCCCTGGGTCGAACATTTGCAGAATTTTATATGTTTGATCTGAAAAATAGATTGTTGCTCAATGCACATATCAAGCCTGAACTTTACTGCAGATACGTTGATGGCATTTTCGTCGTCTGCAGTCAGGATGAAGAACACATGAATGAACTGCGAAGAGCCTTAGAACATGATTCAGTCAAAGTTTACCCATGAAAATGGAAAAAAATCACAAATTGTACTCCCTGGATGTAATAGTACGAGTTGACGTTAATTTATTTGTCACTAATGCATACCAGAAATATAGCAATGCCTGGAAAGTGCTAAACGAAGTCAGAGAACAGAGCAATACTGTAGTCAGCCCACAGAGCTATGAAACCAGCACCGTGCGCGCTCTCATACAAAAATCATTCAAGGCCTGCACATCCGAGATTGATTTAAAAACTTAACTCCGAATTTGGTACAAATCATAGTAAATAATGGGATTTTATATAAAACAGTTTACAATTAAATATTAAATTATCGATCGAAAGAAAACCGAATCAATAATGAAACAGCATCTAATGGAACCATCTCGAAGCACCAAAGCAGCATCTATATAAGGAAACCCTCTGTCATGGACTGAATTCGAGGCTATCTAAATCTTCTCAGCCAAGTAACGGTGAACCCAAAGACAGGAAAGACATTTTTAATGACACTCCAGGTTTACTGCCGGAAAGTTCGACCGTAAACAAACACACAATAGAACAAATGTATACTCGAAAAACAACAAGGGCTTTTAATCTCACTGAAAGGAAACAAAATATCAAGAAACTCGTACTTAATTGACGGCTAGGTACTAAGCGTCGCAAATAATTACTAATTTAGGGTGGCAACAATCTAATGTTTCGTCGATGTATGAATGATAGCAATAGTGTACTGTACAAACCAAATTAAGCATCAAACTTACGAGATGTGACACTTCGATCCTATTCATCAGTTCGATTGATCGCTAAAAATGAACTGTTATAACAGTTACATTGAATCATCATCGAAGTTTACGCAAGTCTGGATAGAAAGAAGATGGAGATTCGGTTACCCGATAACGGCCGACAATAAAAAGATCAAGAAAAGGTCAGAAAACTACTACATATTACCTGTCACAATGGGCATACTAGGTTTATCAAGCTCAACACTGACACAAGAAAAAATAAAACAAAGACGTGAGATGGAAAATGAACAAACTGGCTTCATGGGCAATGAATTAGCTACACATCTGGCCTCGTGCTTACGCAGGAGCTTATCACCAAAAAATTAGACAGCACGGCAGCAGTCAGCACGCAAGCACGAGTAGAGCTAGGCTGATGGTTCTGAGAGAAGGCAGAGCGCTGTAAAACCTTAACTCCAGCAGTCAAACTCGCGCAACGCGACGCCCTCATCTTCTCCCAAAACCAGATGAACAACGGCTACAAAGTATATGAACGAGTATTACAGTCAATCATTCATAATATTATCAAGAGCACAACAGATAACGAAAAATTAAAACCTCTCATCTACTACAAAATAAGAAAATTTAGAACCTTGTACTGAATAATAATCCCTGTAAAAATCTAGACTGCTTCAAGCAAACAATGTTGTTTAAACATTTTCTTGACCATCACCCGAGCGACTTCAGAAGCCTGCACTGGCATCGTTATGCGGCGCCCAGACGCTTCAAGAATGGCTATAGCTGAAGGCCTCTTTATCAAGATCGTCTCCATCTATCAACCTCCAAACTTCAGTATTCTTACGGACGCTTAAATTATTTTTAGAGCAATTTTATCTTTTGATTTCGAACTGTATCCACAATACACTTGATTTGTACTATTGTCACTTCTAGATTTCAATTTCAAGTGTTGCAAAACTCTTCACCTGCTTTATAATGAATATTGCACATTCAAAACACTGCATACTATTCAAATTTCCTTTGGTAACCTGCTTCTCGATCTGCCTACGCCAGCAAAAAAACTCGCTCGACTCATTGAGAAGACAAATAAGAAAATTATTAATAGAAAACATTTTTTCGTATTCGATCAAACTTGCATAAAAGACAGGCTCCCTCTTGCCTGTCTTTTCCTTGCCCTGCGAACTATATCAGAAGCCTTATATGCAGAGGTGGGCAGTAGCGCGCTACATGTTGCGGCCGCTACTAGCGCCCGCTACATTTTCAGTTGCGGTAGCGGCGCTACATTTAAGCAATTGTAGCGGTAGCGGTAGCGCCCGCTACATATTTATGTAGCGATACGAGGTTTTGCCGCTACAGCGCTACCGCTCCATTTATAGATAAAGCCTTTAGATTTTACTCAACTTAAGAGTCAGGTGGAGCGGTCGCTGAACGCCGCATCGAGCCCAAACGGCCTCACGCGGTTAAAATTTCTCGGCCAGGCTCTTCCTTCTAACGTCTGGCTGCACATTCCCCTCCTCCACTCCCCCTCCTCTACATTTTTAATCAGCGAGCGACATACTACTAATTTTTCTACGAAATTGTACTCTATTATCAAATTGGTTGTTTTCTTACTAATAACCTTTATTGACAATACGTGTTGTGTAACTTTCATAGCCTCAAAGTTACGTAGATAATTTTCGGGTTGTGTTCTCACCTACCTTCTATAACTATACATAACTGTATAGTATGTATAGTTATACTATACATGTATGTATATGTATGAATACTACTATATGTATACTACTATAACTATACATATTAATGGACTGACTGACGGGTATCATTCGTTAATAGATATTGCAACATAGCAATGTTAACTAATTTATAATTTGTAACATTGAGTTCTCTGAAGTCCGAGTTCCCTGAGGCCAGCAGATCTTTGTAAAATCTGCACTCTCGTGTAAGTTGTCTGCACTGCTGTAAGTCTGCACTAAGTAAGTCGGCACTAAGTAAGTGTAAGTCTGCACTGCTCTGGCCGACCGCTGGCCACCCACGGTCCGGGAAGGAGCTGAAAGGGCACTTGACAGCGCCGAGAGAGAGATTTATGTGCTTGAGGTTCCCTCATAAACCACTGGACATGTTTTGACTTCAACAATTTAGGATACAAACTTTATTTGAACGTGTAGTCTGATGTAATACTAATGTAGCAGTTGCTCAAATATAGCTGCAAATTTTTTTACAATAATAATCCGTACCATGGTACTTCGCATCATTGTGGTTTTCGCTGCTGTTATTTGCTTTAAAATTAAGTACCGGTATTTATTTTGCCTTTTTATTATCATATAAATCATAATTTTTACAATCACAGTAATAATAATTTAAATCAGTAATTCAGTATGATAATAATTCAGTAGGCTGATATTAATATTACAGATTATTAAGCAATGTGCAATGTGTTGTTCTAATTTTTAGACTTTAAAAAATGTCTACAGAAATAGAAAATCAATTTAAATGCATGTCTTAACCGTTTTTTATGAACTTCTGATAAAAATGTACACATTTACATGAATATTCTCATTACTGCGCAGATCATGTACGTATAGAATTTAAATTGCTATATTCCAGCTCATTTAACTCAATGATTAATTCATTAACCAGACAGCTGGGGCTGGTGACGGCCGAACTTACACGCGAGTGCAGATTTTACAAAGATCTGCTGGCCTCAGGGAACTCGGACTTCAGAGAACTCAATGTTACAAATTATAAATTAGTTAACATTGCTATGTTGCAATATCTATTAATGAATGATACCCGTCAGTCAGTCATCGAACAAATTTATTCATGAATACAAAGGAGCCTGTAACTATGCAGTGCACCTAATAGCTATACAGTTAAGTATCGTTACACACCACA